AATGCTCAACCAGTGAGCCACACCAGCCTTTTGGTATGCACACAATCTGAGGATTACTGAGTAATTTGAGGATTAAAATATGCACTCTCTCAAAAAATATCAGGATTCAAAAGAATAGGATTTATCCTCTTTTGTTTGTTTGTTGAAATAAGCAACTGACATGATTTCTTTTCATCTTTTATTCTGTAAATAATGGCCTCAGGTACTAAACATTAAAGGAAAGCTAAAAGAAAAAGTAAACTGAATTGATTCTATAGAACCAAACTTCTACGAAACAAAACCTTTAGCCCTGGCCAGTTTGGTTCAGCAGTTAGAGCATCGGCCCACGGAGCCGAGAGTCCCAGGTTCGGTTCCCGCGAAGGGCATGTACCTCGGTTGCAGTTTGTCCCCAGCCCCAGTTGGGGTCGTGTGGGTGGCAGCCACTCGATGTGTCTCTCTCACATCGATGTTTTTCTCTCTCTCTTCCCCCCTTCTCTCCTGCTCTATCTGCAGGTAAATGCAAAAAACAAAAATGTCCTCGGGTGAGGATTAAAAAAAAACAACCTTTATCACTGTAAATGTATTTCGAGGAGATCTTTAACAATTACATTTCTGAGTTCCAAAGAAGTAACAAGTCTTTTCAAAAGACAGGGATGCTCTGAAATTCTTAAATAAGAAAAATGCCTTTTTTATTTTTTCCAATATTTGTAATAATAGTGTTCTGTTTATTCTATTTTTAAAATCTCAACCCCATTCCAGTCTTCCTAATGGTTCTCCATTTCCATATAACCTGCTTAAGGCAGCTCCCAACCAGAGAAGCATTAAACTGTGAGGGACGCCCGAGGTTCTCTACCCCCACCCTCTGTGAACCTCTGACGGCTCTCCCAGTGGGGACAACACCTACTGCGTGTTCTCCAAAAGTGAGACCTTCCCATCTCTGGGAGCACTGGCTTTGTATTTTCCTTTTTCGGGGGGGTGGAGGGGGTCGTGGTTTTTGTTTTCAATAAAGCGCTCATTGTTTAAGACAGAATACAGGCTCTGAATCGCCATCTGCTCCTTCCTTATCACCCATGTGGCTCTCGGACACAGGCTTCCCCAACCTTAGGTTTTCATTGTCCAATAGGACCTCGATGTCCCACTGGGTGACGCTGTACATGAAAGCGCCTCATGGAGAGCAGGGTCTCATCAAACAGTACGTCTCCCTGAAAGTTCATTCGCTAGCTGTGATCTGTCTGTTCAGATTCTCTGGTTCTTTCTGATTCAGTTCTGGAAGGTTGTGTGTGTCTAGGAATTTGTCTATTTCATCCAGTTGTTGGCATATAGTTGTCTGTAATATTTTCTAATAATCCTTAGCATTTCTTTGGTGATAGTTGTTACTTCTCCTCTTTCATTTCTGATTGTGTTTATTTGAGTCCTCTCTCTTTTTTCTTTTTTTTCAGGGTCTGGTTAAAGTTCTATCAATCTTGTTTATCTTTCCAAAGAACAAGCTCTTGGTTTCATTGTTTTTCTTGTGTGTGTGTGTGTGTGTGTGTGTGTGTTTGTTGTTTTTTAACTCTATGTTGCTTATTTCTGCTCTGATCTTTATTATTTCCTTCCTTCTACTCACTCTGGGCTTTGCTATTCTTTTGGAAGTTCCTATAAGTATAACATCAGATTGTTTGAGATTTTTCTTATTTGAGATAGGCCTGTAATGCTATGAATGTTCCTCTTAATACCGCTTTCACTGTGTCCCAGAGATTTTGGGTCGTTGTGTTCTCATTTTCATTTGTTTTAAGGCATCTTTTTCTTTCTTCCTTGATCTCACTGTTAACCTATTCATTGTTTAGTAACATGTTATTTAGTGTCCATGCCTTTGTCTGTTTTACCATTTCATTCTTGTAATTTCTTTCTAGTTTCATATCATTGTAGTCAAAGAAAAAGAAGATGCTTGCTATGATTTCAATCTTCTTCTTTTTTTTTGAATATTAAATACCTTTGTTTAAGATTTCAGGAAAATGAGGCAGTTGCAGACACTGATGGAGAAGAATAACTTCCAGCACGTACTGGGCTGTGTCCATCTTGCTACAGTCACATTTCTTCCCACATGAAAATTGTCCCATCGCCTCCTGTACTTTCCCATTTCATTGTTCTATTTAGCACTACTGTGTCTGTTATCTCCCTTCCTATATTATGCCATAGTCATTAAAAAACAACAAAAAACCAACATGCTGACATGTGCTCCCTTTGTGGCCAAATACTGGAGAACTGTAGGTTCAATGTAAATACTGTGAAGGGCTTATACTTATATTCTTAACAGCTCTACAGTGGTGTGTCGTTCCCCCTGCCCATCACTGGCCCAGTCTGTTTCAATATTTGCTACACCAGGACAATCTCGGGAGAGATCAATGACTTTCCAGGGGTCACATAGCCAAAAAGTTGCATAAAAAGCTTCCTGTTCAGGAAAACACATGTGATAGGATCTCAAGCCACTACCTAACCGTTGGCTTGTGCCGAGAACCAGTTGGTCCCAACAATGTGGGCTGGGAAGAGAGGCGGTCAGGAGGCAGTGCTGGTCCGCCCCTGTCAGGACCCCCGGCCAGACCCCACCCCAGCTGCTCATGTCTAGTTTCCTACCTAACCTTTCCCCCCTTAAGTTATGGAACCCCCTTCTTTGGGGTCTTTTGGGAGAAGATTGCTCCAATGCTTCACACTGATCAGGGTCTCTGGGGGCTTTGGGTCCCCATACTTGCTGTCGGCTGAGCGAGGTGTCTGCTCCAGGGGCCCGGAACAAGGGGGCTGTTCCGGGAATGAGGACTTGGTGTCCTTCAGACAGTACCATTGGGAGCTGTGTGACTGCTGCATTAGAACTCAGGCCACTGCACCCCTACAGACACTGGAGACAAACTCCTCGGGCCTAAGGTTGGTCTGAGACTGGTTCTTGTCCCCACAGACAGGGTGGGACCAGAACCCCAACCCACTACATATTAACCACAGCTGCGCCTGCCAAACTCCACAAGACTAAAAGTGACTTCAATCTTCTTAAATATACTGAGGCTATTTGTGTCCTAACATGTGATCTATCCTAGAAAATGTATCCATGGGTACTTGAAAATAATGTACTTTCTGCTGCTTTGGGGTGAAATGCTCTGAAGACATCAATGGAATCCACTTAACCTAGTGTTTCATTGAAGGCCACTGTTTCCTTGTCGATTTCTGTCTGGAAGATCTATCCATCTACGTTCATGGGGTGTTAAAATCCCCTATGATGACGGTATTCCTGCCAATCTCTCCCTTTATGTCCTGTGTTCATTGTGGTATCACTTACAATAGCTAAGATGGAAGCAGCCCAAGTGCCCATCAGTGGATGAGTGGATAAAAAAGCTGTGGTACATTTATTCATAGACTGGAATACTACTCGGCTATAAAAAAGAAGGAAACTATCCCCTTTGCAACAGCACAAATGGACATGGAGATTATTACCCTAAGTGAAGTCAGTCAGTCGAGAAAGACAAATATCATGTGATTTCACTCACACGTGGAATCTAATGAACAAAATTAACTAATGAACAAAACAGAAACAGACTCGTAGATAGAGAAGACGGCTAGTAGAGGGGAGGAGGGTGGCAGGGCTGGATGAAAATGGTGAAGAGATTAACAGGAAAAAAACTCACAGGCACAGACAACAGCATGGTGCTTACCAGAGGGAAAGGGGGTGCAGGAGGTAGAAGAGGGTGAAGGGGGGATAAAAGGTGATGGAAGAAGACTTAACTTGGGGTAGTGAACCCATAATACAATATACAGACAATGTATTACAGAATTGCACACCTGAAACCTATATAATTTCATTAACCAATCAGCCCAATAAATTTAATTAAAAGAAAAAAGAAAGCAGAGCATGAAAACCTAGTGGGTCTTGCAGTGCAGCTCTGTCATTGCTTCCCTTTTGCTGACTGTCACACACTTCCTTTAATTCTTTCAGTTCCTGCCATGAAACGTCTATCCACAACTGATGTGCTCCCTTTACAGCACACTGGGATCACAGTGCGCATCCGACGGGTTTGTATTCTGAGTAAAGAACTCCTTTCCCTCGCCCGGCCACTGTGGCTCAGTGGACTGAGAGTCGTCCCAAGGACTGAGAGGTCCCGGTTCGATTCCCGGTCAGGGCACATGCGCGGGTTGTAGGCTCCATCCCCAGTAGGGGGCGTGCAGGAGGCAGCCGATCGACATTTTTCACATCGATGTTTCTCTCTCTCTCTCTCTCTCTCTCTCTCCCCCTTCCTCCCTCTCTAAAACATCAATAAAAAAAGAATTCCTTTCCCCCTCCCCCACCCAGCTTTCTGGGTTATATTTTCTTCCCTTTAAATTCAGTAAGTCCATGAACCATGTCAAAGATTACTGAATGGTCAATGAACACCTGATTTGCATTAACTTAAGAAATGGAGAGCTTCTGTCTTCTTCACTGAAAAGACTTTCCACTAAGAACCCACATTCAGCAGCACAGCTCAAGAGGAAGCACTTGAGAGTGACAGCAGCTTGAACAGGGCGGCAATTATTATTTAAACGGTGGAATGACTAAGAGGCGACCTGGAGTGGAACATGAAAGAATGTCGCATTAGCCCTGGCCGGTTTGGCTCAGTGGTTCAAGTGTTGGCCTGTGGACCAAAGGGTGAGCGCCGGGGTTGCAGGTTCGATCCCCAGCCCTGGGTGGGGATTGGGGAAAAAAAGTTACATTAAAATCCTGTAAGAGCTTGGTAACATGTCTCCTTGATCCTAGGCTTGAACCCCAAATACACTATGCAAATTCATCTTCAATATCTTAGACTTAAGCTATTTGATGAAAGAGGTTCTTTCTTTCTTTCTCAGCTTTTGAACCTCTAGTACCAAGTACTTACTCAGCACTCAATAAATAATGCTAAATAAACTAAGGTGGAACATTTAAGAGTGAAAGCAAGGTGAGAGAGGGTTTCCAGTCACACCACCAATGGTCTGTATGTATCAGGTCAATCAGATCAGCAAGGCTGATGTCTGATACCCTCACTTACGTAATCTCCATAGGTCTCTTGTGTTGGGGGTGGCGGTGGAGGTCTGTATCCAGTTGGGGGGACTCCTCTTGCTCTGGGAGTGAGAAGCCCTCTTCCCCGACTCACTGGTCCTCGGGTGGACAGGACCCCTCTGGAAGATGCCGCCCCTCGCGGCACCACAATTCCAACTGGCCGGGCTGTGACACTTCCCCTCCCCCTGCAAGCAAGAAGGTCAAGTTAGCAACATTTGTCATTTTCTCTAACATTCCATTGTTCACATACATTTATACCTAAAAAAAAAAAATCAGTATTTCTGTAAAAAGAAATAAGGGAATCATAGGCAAAGTAAAAACTAAAGCATTAGAGAAAACCGATATCCCCCAAAAAGAAGTCATTTCGGCAGCTCATCCCGCAACAGCAAGCATAGTAACGTTGAAGAAGATCTAAAACTGCCCTAATAAACAAGTAAGGTCTTTCTAAAATCACACACAACATCTACTGATGCAACAACAACATCGAGAAATATTTTGGTGCACATCTAAGAAAAGATGTATAGGAACTATGTAAAAAAAAAAAAAAATACAATACTCTGATGAAAGAATTCAAAGGAGAAACATTCCAAGCTCATGAGTTGCCAATTCTTTCCAACTTGCTGTATAGACTCAATGTAATCCCAATAAAAATCCCAGCAAGCTCTTTTGTGGACGGACAAGCATATTCTCAAGTATACAAGGAAAGATAAAAAACCCAGAAGAGACAGTGCAATACTGAGGAAGAAAAATGTTGGGAGGACTCATAATATCTGATGGCAAGTCTTACTTTAAAGCTACAGTGATCAAGGCAGTGAGGACTGGCCAAAAGACCAGACACACAGATCAATGGAAGAAAACAGGGAGCCCAGAAATTGATCCACAGAAATATGGTCAGAAGATCACCGCAAAGGAGCAGACAGTTCGATGGAGCAATGATAGTTTTTTCAACAAATGGAGCTGAAACAAATGAATATCCATATGCAAAAAGGAAGGAAGGAAGGAAGGAAGGAAGGAAGGAAGGAAGGAAGGAAGGAAGGAAGGAAGGAAGGAAGGAAGGAAGGGGGAGGGAGGGAGAAGGAAGGAGGGAAGGAAGGAAAGAAGGAGGGAGGAAGGAAGGAAAGAGGGAAGGAAGGAAGGAAGGAAGGAAGGAAGGAAGGAAGGAAGGAAGGAAGGAAGGAAGGGGGGAGGGAGGGAGGGAGGGAGGGAAGGAAGGAAGGAATAGAGAGAGAAAGAGAGAAAGAAAGGAAGAAAGAAACTCAAAATGGTTTTAGACCTACATGTAAAATACAAAACTTATAGAAAAAACAAAAGAAATCAACATGACCTTGGTTTGAGGATGTGTTCTAGACATAATTAGAAAAGCATAATCCATGAAATAAAAATTCGTGAGCTGGACTTGATTAAAATTAAATACTTCCACTCTGAGAAAGACACTGTTTCGAACTGAAGAGACACACCACAGAAAGGGGGAAATATGTGTTGCACACGTATCTGATATGTGTGTAGCCAACAGACACTATTCCTCAATAAAGGGACAGGGCTCCTTGGAGAAGCGGCTGATTCCAGGGCTAGAGCAGGGAATACACCTGATGATAATGGAGCAACTTGAAGCAGCAGATAGGAAGGAAACACTCAAAAAGAAAAGGAAAAAAGAAAAAAACAAACACGAACGAACTATGGGGCAAGCGAAAGGAGCAGAGCAGCCAATAGGAGGAGCTCCCACTGGCCAAAGCGGAGAAATTCGAGCAACAAAAAGAAAGCAGTATTGGGTTTTAATGCAATGTATAAGATACGTCCACGAGTCCATCCTGATATAAATCAATGACTGACAACAAGTGGGAGAGGAGAGAAGAATCTTCCCGATGGTTTCTGTACACGCCGCCCCCTGGGGGATGGGAGGGTGGCATTACAGCGGGGCGTCTGACCAATGCTAACCTCGCTCAGGTCATGGGCGTACAGCCCATGGATGCCCTGTGGACAGTGCGTGCCCTTGACATCGCGTGATGAAAGTGACATTCTGAGTTCCCCAAACCCACAAGCCCAGACTAATCATGAGACAAACATTAGGGAAATCCCAAATGAGGGACATCTTATTTAAAACACACAGAGACCTGACCAGAACTACTCAAAACCATCAAGACCATCAGAAAGCAAAATTTAATAAGACTTTCACCCTTAGCTAGCTCGTTTTATCCCTTTGATGAGTACTGTCAATTTTAACTCCTTCTTTTTTTTTTTTTTTCTGTTTTCATTCCAGGCCATAAACATTAGAACAGTAAATGTGATGGTCAAGACCAAGGATGCTGGAGTCAGATGTGAATTCCATTCCTGAGTGGACCTACTAGGTTTAACTTCGCCTTCCAGTTAACAAATTCACCATGAGTCTGAGCTTCCCAGTCCAGGCCCCAGTTGTGCAGTGGGATGCAGAACCCAGCGCGTAGTGTTACTACGAGGGAGAAAGGACACAGGATATCCCACCAATCATCTCCCACATCTGCCTGGATGCAAACGGACAGCTTATACAACTACCACTCACTCTGAACTGTACAGAAAGACACTATAATTTCCAGAGCATCTTATCTTTTTATCTCTGATATATATCTAGAAAAATATTCAATGTGAGTAGAAGAAAAAAAAGTAGTTTCCACTTAGTGCCTAAACCCACTGGGGCTAGTGCAGTTGATCTGTGCATATTCAAACTAATTAAGGCTCCTGCTTCCTTATCTAATATCTCGTCAGTGCCATCCAAGGCACTACATGGGCCACAAAATACTCAGTACATCTTTTGAACATATTTGTGCCTTTCATCAAATTGAAAGACATAAATTTATATATTCAAGAAGTTAAAAATTCTTTCCCCTCATCATCGACATTGTTAGATCCTGTGTGCACGGCGTGTATGGAGTCACACTGAGGTATCTCCTATGGAATTTTACACAAGTTATTTGATATATGTAGTTCTAGATTCTTATCTATAAAGGCTGCTTTCAAGATTCATTTTTAAGTGGACATCCGTGGGAATAGAGTTAAGCAGCAATGTTCCTTTAATCGATACTTTGGTGAGAGGAAGGCATGATCCAGAGTGACATGCTAATATAAAAATTATGTCATATTGCAAAGTACTGACTGAATGCTACAAATGAGGCTCAGGGCGAAGCTGAACGGCAGGACTGAAAACAAAAAAAAGTACCTGTTGGATGAGATTTATAATGATAACTGATGGGAAGTTTTTTTTATTTGCAAAGTTTATTCAAGTTGATTAGAATTTGGGTACAGCACTGGTCTGAACTGGGACACGGAAGAGCAGAAAGAACACAGCTGAGCAGAAAGTTTCACAAGCAGATGGAGGGATGTGACTGTCATGGTTCTTTCTGTTTACATTTTTCAGCAGCGTGACCACGGCTTCCGGTTTTGAAACTCAAATATAGAAATAACTGAGAAAGGTTTTTGCAGGGAGCAGCTCTCTTTTTAGAAGACGGGGCTTTAAAGGACGGACTACAATAAGTATTGATTAATCAGAAACTAATGGTTGAGTTTATAAATTAGTAACAGGTTTCAAGATGTAATGAAAAAGCGCATGCTTCGGGTTACAACATCCTCGAATGTAATTCTTTTGCTTCGTTGCTTAGTCTTGGTTCTCCCACCTGTACAGTGGGGTTAATAATGCTGAGCTCTTGCAGGACAGTTGTGAGGTTCACGCACAGGACGTATAAAATGCCTAACCTAGAACAGGCTCTAGTGAGCGGTAATTATTACTTCTCCGTGGACTCTGTCCTGATACCTTCCTTTTGCGGTGTATTGGAGGGTGAGGAGCAGAGAGAAGGTACCACACTCCAATCCTCACTTCATACATGCGGCATCAGCACTACATACACTTTATACCTGCAGCAATAGTAATGCACTCCAATAGAGTGAGAGCAAACATATACTCCACTGTTTGGCTTTTATTCCTAAATTTTATGAGAAGCAAAAGAATAAAGCAATAGATGGGTGGCAGCAGCCCAGAAAGCCCCAGGTAGCTCCAGCATTATTAGCTGGTGACCTTGGGAAACACAGTGGGGCCCCGGGCAGCAGGAAGGGGAGGCCCACAGCTGATCAGAGAGAGGCGTCTGCAGGATTGAGCGTCAGGGTCTTAGCCTGAAATCGCTAGTGTCACAGTGAGAAAAACCTCCCCAGGATCGAGTTGAGGTGCACGGCCTGGTGCAATGGCCTGGGGACCATTTATGAACAGTTGCAAATCCCTGCAGAATCCCTAACGCATCTGATCACTTTCCTTTCCCTCTGTGAGTGCTTCCCTGAGTGTAAAGCTTGGTCATTCCAAGACTTTTTTCCTGCCAGAAGCTGACAGGTGAATGGGGGGCTAGACACGGGTCAGGCGAGCACAGCCATAGTTCTCACAAGGTGCATGAGAAGCTGTCAGAGCTGACGGAGACGAGACTTCTGCACAGGTGCGCTGACAGCTACAGCCCGAGCACCTGCAGGGTCAGTGTGGTTCCAGGGCAGGCTTCTCATAGGCTCCTGCGTCCTCAGCCCCTGGAGCCCTTGTCTCCAGGCAGAGTGTCACTCAGCAGGTGGGGGTGTGTGCTTTGGCGGCGGGGAGGCTGAGATTCTTTGCAACAAGCTCTCAAGTGCTGCTTCTGATGGTTTAGGTCCAAAGGTTACGCACCTGCTATGAAACCTGTCGGTCATTTCATTTCTTTATTCCGTGAGCCGGCCAATCTTACACGTAACTTGTTTTTAAATGACTAAGCGATTGTTTACACTGTGTAGAGTACAAAAGGGGTCCAAGGCCATCCACTTTTCCTCCAACAAGCTGCAGAATGGTGATGAGCACAACCGGGGCCAAAGTAAGACAGTGTGCACGAGTACAACCTCCTCGAAAGCACCAATCCTGGTGGGTCTCCTTCCCACCCAGTGCCGTGTCGCCGGAACGAGAGCACACAGTCCTTACTGTGTCGCCCATCACGGTCTTCCAGTTCGAGTCGTGTGGGACTCCGCGGCACCCGTCTCCTTCCAAAACAACGAAACGGATGATGAAGGGGTTGGAGAGAGACGGGGAGTTTGTTTATGGTCCGATGGTGAGGGACTGACCCAGAATTGGCATATAACACTCAACTTCTAATGTGGGGTCATCTGAGTAATTGGAAAGGGAATCACTTTAGTTTGGACTTCAGTGGGACACTTAAAAAATTAAGGAGGGGCCCTGGCCAGGTAGCTCTGCTGGTCAGAGCACCATCCCAATATGCCAAGGTTCCGGGTTCAATTCCTGGTCAGGGCACATACAAGAAGCAACCAACAGATGCATAAGTAAGTAGAGCAACACCTCTCTCTCTCTCTCTCTCTCTCTCTCTCTCTCTCTCTCTCAAATCAATCAATACATTTTTAAAAAAAATATTAGGTAGGGCTTAGGTTAGTGTGCGCACAATCTTCTGTCTCCACTTAATAGATGAGGCAGTTACGGCTTAGGGAGGGAAGAGCCCGGAGGCCACACAGCTAGGAAGAGCCAGGGGTGACCCTTGAGACTCCGGTTTCCCCAGCCACACCCTCATCTCCAGCCACAAACGGGCCCCAACTGTTCGGCTTTAAAGATTTCGCCCCTCTGCCTGGGATGGCGCCCCTCTGGCATGGTCCTGTCTTACTTCCTCCCCTGCACCCTACGTCTGTTCCCACCCACACGCCCCACTCGGGATTATCTGCACCCTCGTCTCTGTTTCCACGTCAGTTTGTTTCACGTCCCTCCTTACACACCTTTCGCTCCTAATTACTTGCTTCCCCGATGCTGGGGCAACGGCTTACACATCTAAAAATCCAATTCCTGTCACAGAGGGAGCTCGAGAGAAATCTGTGACACCGAGTGACCTATGACCAGGAATAGACTGACGGTTTTTCAAGGGGAAAAAACACAAACACTCGTGGAAGCAGGCTGTGCCGGGCAGACTCCCGCCGTACCGGAGGGGCCACGGGCTTCCTCCCACCCCAGCCGCACCTTGTCGGTGGAGCTTGTTTGGCGTCGTCCAGGAAAGGACCCGGGGACCCTGCGGTCCGCGGGAGGCCCACACATCGGCCCACTTCGTGCAGGGCAGACAGGCGACGGCTGGCCGAGCTGGGGCGCAGCCATGTGCAACACGTAGGGCTGAAGACCAAGCAGGCGAAGAGCGAAAGGGGCAGGGAAATAGTTTCAAAAGCAGTAGCTGAAAATTTCCACAGTTCAGGAAAGCTGCCAAAAGGCTGTTCAACCGAATGGCCCGAGTCTAAGAAGAACCCCACCCGCGGTGCCCAGCTCTGGCGGGCACACGTTTCAGAACCAGAGAGGCAGACCTGGCGGCTGGTTCAGGTTTCTCCCTGCTCTTCCCAGCAGCAGAGCAGGGAGGTCAGGCCTGCCCCTTGGGAGGAAGGCCCAGAGGACCAGAGCCGCTGGCCAAACATGGAAAGCAGAAGAGGAGGGAGCGCTGCCTGGGTGGTCCCAATCCCCCCACCCCCGCTGCCTGGGTGGTCCCAATCCCTCCACCCCCGCTGCCTGGGTGGTCCCAACCCCCCCCCCCGCTGCCTGGGTGGTCCCAATACCCCCTGCCTGGGTGGTCCCAATCCCTCCACCCCCGCTGCCTGGGTGGTCCTAATCCCCCCCCACCGCCTGGGTGGTCCCAATCCCCCCCCCACCTGGGTGGTCCCAATCCCCCACTGCCTGGGTGGTCCCAATACCCCCAACCCCGCTGCCTGGGTGGTCCCAATCCCCCCCCACCTGGGTGGTCCCAATTCCCCACCCCCGCTGCCTGGGTGGTCCCAATCCCCCCTGCTGCTTCCCAGGCCCTGTCGCTGGGTTCCCGGAGGAGCCCGCGTGGAGGAGCTCACAGCAGAGATGCCCCATCTCCCACACACAGGCGTCTAAGCCCAGCTCCCCATGTGAGACGGAAACGAGAAGGTTCTATTCAAACACTTCCAGCTTCTCACAGCAGGATTTATTTTCAGACCGCTTCCATCATTTGCGAGCAAGGTAAATCCTGAAGCGCCAACAGCAGGGAGCATTCGTGAGGACGCAGGGACGACTTATTCCCTGTGACATTCCCACAGGTGACATCCTGTGGCCATTCCCACAGAGCTCATCCCCCACGTGACAGACAACCACCCTGACAAAACGTGTTGGGCAGAAAGAGCCTCAGTCGGCTATGGCACTGAATTCACACCACGATGTTTTACTGAGTGATTGCTATGTGCCAGGCTGTCGTGTGTTTTCATTATGAAGAGGAGAGATCAACAAAAAATTTACAAATAAGTAACATAAACTCTCACGATAGATGCTAACAAGTAGCCAAGGCAGGGTGTCGTGACCTGTCCTGGACCAGGAGGTGGGCATCGTGAAGGTGCCCGGGCGCTGAGAAGGCAGTGCCCAGAGGGGTGCCTGCAGGACGGGAGACAGCGTACCGAGGACCAAGCGTGAACGCTGGGGACTCGCAAAGAGATGAGCTTTGGCCTCTTTAAGGGACAGAAAGGCGTTAGCCCCGGCCGCCTGGAGTGCAGACGTGGCAGAAGCCCGCCGGGTGGACGCGGCCAGATGGCACAGGCGCGAATCAGGAAGAGCGGGCTCCCTTCTAGCCACGGAGGAAGCGCGGAAGGAGTTTAAGCAGAAGAGAAAATAAATCTAGTTTAATGTTGGAAGATCGTCAAGACTGTGAATGCCGACAGGAGAGCGGTGTTCGATCAGGAAGGACGGGAGGCATGATGAAAGACACGGATGCTCTCACGGAGCTGACCGTTCGGGATGGGACATGACAACTCTGACAGCAAAAACAGCCAGCCAGGTGCTACACCTACCTGGTTGTCGCTGGGGTTGCCGCACCTCTCGTACGCAAGGTGGATTTGCCCCGGACGACCGGGGCGTCTGCGTTTTCTGAGCCACCGTTCAAATACGTTAATTCCTGGAGCTGCGCTTGCCGGATTTCATCGTTGTAATCCTGCGCAGAAGGAGACAGCACGTTCACGGAGCAGACACAGAGGCCGTTACAACAAGAAGCACTTTTTTTTTAATAGGTGCTTAAAAAAGGGGTTTAGTAGGTGCTTAAAAAAAGGGGGGTTTAATAGGTATAAAAAAATAAGGGTTAGGGAAACAGGTGAATTCATAAAGCAAGATCTGAGTTTGTTACAATGACAATATAGCAATGCACTGTAAAAAGGAAGGAAAAAAACCACATAGTATTTTTCCCCAAACTAAAATTTTCTACAACCAGACATAACTCCTTCCCCCAGGCATGATTTGCAAGTGAAACATTTATAACACAATTAAAATACCATGTAACAGATAGCTCATCATTGCTATTTACAACTCAGTTCAAAGTCGTTACTGAGCATCTGTGATGTACCAGGTGACAGAAAACACAAAGGTCCATACAAAGGGGCCCGAAAGGTGCCCAAGAACCTAAGGAGGGGGGTGGCCGCATTCTCAAAGCCACAGGAAGCGAGTGGCCTCCACATTCTGACAGGCGGCCACGTGCAGTTCCGGGGAGTCACTACCAACAAGGGCCTGACTTCAGAAACAGTGGTTTCAGTGACAGGGCAGAGCTGGAACCCGTTCCGGGGGTGCGGGGCGGATGTGGGTACGTCACTGGCACGAGAAGGTGGCAGGGCTGCCGTCTGAGGGAGCAAGGGTGATGCTACGGTGCAAGGAGCATGAGCAGATCTGAATTGGAATAAAAGATTCGGAAGAGGCAGTTTCCTGGGTTATTTAGAATTAAAGATATGGAACACGTGCAGTAGATGTATTTTTCAAAATACACGGTCTCTCCCTTACTTTTCAAAAGCAGAATGCAAGAACTGACTTGACGCCTGTGGAGAAGACAGTGTGGAGTAAAAAAAGAATGAGAACCCGGATCAAAAAAGACAGGGAGCCCTGGCCAGTTTGGCTCAGCGGTTAGAGTGTTGGCCCGCGGACCAGAGAGACCCAGGTTCAGTTCCTGCTAAGGGCACGTACCTCAGTGTAGTTTGTCCCTGGCCCTGGTTGGGGTCGTGTGGATGGCAGCCAGTCGATGTGTCTCTCTCACATCAATGATTCTCTCTCTCTCTTCCTCCCTCTCTCCCTCCTGCTCTATCTGAAGATAAATGCAAAAATATCCTTGGGTGAGGATTAAAAAAAAGACAGGGAGCCCACGGTCAGCTCATACCTGCAGGGCGGAGGGTGGCCACGGATGAGCGGGTCCGGTCACTGCCCTCAGCTGGAAGGGCTCGGGGTCAGGGTCTAGGTTTTACTGCAAATATAGGCTCTTTCTGTGACTTATTTGCAGTATTGTGACCCGAAGAGAGTCACTAGAATCCATCAGTATTCCAACGGCTTACAACCCATAGACACGTCTCCTACCATTTTACTAAAAACGTGTGAAGTAAGTTCTTCGTGAAGCAGATTCCAAATAAAACGTGCTACATAAATGCTGAACATTTGCCCCGTGGAAGGTGCGACACAAAACCGTGCAGGGTTAAAAACAGATTCCCGGGGAAGGAAGCTGACTGAGCCCTATGTGAACGTGCCGGGGAGCTCGGCGTCTCCGCGGAAGGACAATGCACCTGCCAGGCCACCTCCGTGTCGCCAAGGTTGGGACTTGGAGTTCCGCAACGTGGACAAGGGACGGCGCTCTCCGACTTTCGTGCTCATGTAACCTCAGCGGTATTACCTAATCTCTAAAGATCTGTGGTCTCACATACAAAGAAGGAATGAAGCCCTGGACGTCACGGGGACACTGTGAAGTCCACTCGGTAGGACACGGAAGCTCCTGGGCAGACACCACCTGCTGCAGGGCCAGCAGGAGTCAGGCCAAGGAGGAGGGGCGAGGGTACTAACGGGAATGAGGAACTTCTTGATCTCCTCCAGGGCGTGTCCCATCCGGGCATAGGCCTCTGCAGGCGGGGCGAAGACCTCAATGAGGACGTGCAGGTCATCATTGAGGTGGAAGTACTTGGCTTCTCCGCTTTTCCTCAGCTCTTCTTCCTAAAGAAAGACAAGCCACGTGGAAGAATGTGTCACCAGGAGAAAAGAGAAAGACAATAAAACCTGCCCAGAGCTTCTGTGGCACATGGCTGTCACAAGTGTCACCCAAGCGCCTCCTAAGGAAGAGAGTTTAGCCTAGAACCGGGTCCCAGGCTCTTAGGAAAACCCAAAGGCTCCCTGCTGCTGTGGGACTCGGTCTCACTCCTGTCCCAGGCCTGGGAGTCCCAGCAGCGGCCTCTGCCCCGCGCTCAGCTCCCCGGCCTCTCGGGCCCCTGCCGGCACCATAGGACCTCCTCTGTGGCTCCCACACTGGCTACGAGCCCTGCCCCCTCCCACACTGGTCGCCTGTGCGCCATGGTGCTGTACTAACCTACACCCGAAATACCTAAGGGGACGTATCTGTCACTTGCCCATTTTCTAACTTCTCTCCCTGCAGGTGGTCACCATGGAGCACGAACCGTGACGGTGTCGCCTGGAGCCGCAATGCCCTTGTCTAGAGAAGTGCTTGGCACAGAGCAAGCGCTCAACAAATACGTGCGGCGTGGACGACTAGCTACTCATTCATGTCGGCCCACGGTTTACGCATGCGTCACTCAAGACGCATCTCTGCTGCCAGGCACTGTACCCGAGGATAAAACGGTGCCTAAGATCGACGGCAGACCTGATTAGACCATTTACCTGATCGTGATAAACATTTTCTAGTTCTGGGTTGTTGCTTACACAATTTAATTCAGGGGGGAAATTAGGAGAAAACAGATCATTAAGGGACCAGTGATCTTGCTCCACTATCTTTTGGTAACTTGTCTTCACGGGGCTGGTAGCTACAAAGAATCAGTCTCTCCACAGTCTGCTTCCACTATTGCGATCAGACAGACAGAAAAGGTTAGTAGGAACCTGTATCTGAAGTGATGTCCGAAAGGAGGCAGCCTTCCTAATCTCTCCGAAAACCCTACCCCAGGAGAGAGAGAACCCCAGGAATTCCTGATCACGACGTCCTATGATTCCACCATTAGCCAGGAGGCCACAGAGGCACAAATGCCCTTGACCTCGCCCTTGAAGGCTTCACCTTCTGCTATGGAACTATCCTGATCTCTTAGAAAGAGAAGAGGATCCACGTGGTAAGGGCATGGGGTTCAGACACGCCTGAACCTCCGCTATGCTGGTCCATAGGTGTGTGAGTTTAGACTGTTGCTGTGTAATCCAACGCTTAATTTGCAAGATCGGTTTGGTATCAACCTACGCACACTATGCTGTAGGGCCGCTGGGTAAGACAAGAACTGGTTCTGTGTAAACGCCCAGCTGGAGACAGAGCGTGTACCGCCTAGTACACCACCTTGCCCTTGGCAGGCACCCAGCAGACGCCAGTTCCCTCCACGTTTAGGGGAAGTGGGTCAGAAACCGCAAGAAAAGTATCTGAAGTAAGAAAGAGCAAATACAAGCTGCCGTTAGTATCATGAGCAGTGTCTCTGACATCTGCCTTGCGGATAGAGAGCATCTTGCTAATGCCCACTGTCGCCTGGGCCTCGTCCTCATTGGAAGGCGGCTAACCCTTCGGCCCGGGACCCACCCTTGTACGGCCAGGGCTTCACAAACTGGACGCTCCCCACAGCTGTTCATCTATGGAAGCAGGAACCGCTGAAATAAACACGTCTTGTCTCCTCCTAACAGGCAGCAAAATGATCACCTGACCGAGAGGGCGCTTCCGTCTCCATCAGAGACCTCAGCTGGACCGGGAGGCCCTCTCACCACAGCCACGCGGGCACTGGTCCAGAGCGGGCGGTTGGAACCCGACGACTCCGGGGCTAACAGGACAGGCCGTGGAGTGTGGGAGACAGACCTCGACACTCTGGGTTCCAGCCCCAAACCCAGCACACTCTGCCTGACTCTGGGCCGGTCACGTTCTCCCTGTCCTACAGCGGGGAGGTTCGGGGCGGTAACAGCACCGTATCCACTGCCCACAGGCTGCTGTCGCCATAAAGGTGTCATCGGAACAGTAATTAGGAGCGAGCAGACATAAAGGAACCGCAGTGATAAAGGAGTTTTGGTCTGAAGACGAAAAAAGTCTTCAGGTTTATGTCTAACACGGAGTAAGCTCTCAATAAATGGTGGCTGCGGTAATAATTATTATAATAACGATCATGATAATTAATGAACAACTACAGTATGACTCACTCTACGGTTCTGTAACACACATGCTGTGGACGGAACCCCTCGCCCGATGACTGGCACAAAGGGGGGTCCGCTGCACCAGGGCGAGTCCTGTGCTCCGTAACCAGCCAGCACCTGTCAGTGACGACTCCCGTCACTGTGTCCACGCAGCAAACCAGGAAAACGGATTAGGCTCACATGAGAATTTAAACAGTGGACACGCTGAACATTTAGAAGATAAGATGATTTTAATAGGAAGTAATAAAACTCTTGAATAGACATCCTGTTCACTGAGAATTTCTGCAGACCCCAGTTATACTAGTAAGAAGGACTGAGATCCACACTCGAGTTCAGGCAGCAGCACGGACAGCACAAGGGGGTGGAGGGATCCGCTGACGGCCACCATGGACAGCAGGGCGTGGGGGGCAGTGGCCATCAACCCACAGTGGGCACTATGTCCCCAGTGTCCAGGGCTCTGGATGGAATACAAATTCCATTTTGATATTCAGCCACTTGCAAAGCTCCGCATTGCCTGGCTGACTGATGTGGTCAAGGATGCAGAAATAAAAGCATTAATGAATGGGCGGTGAGTGGTCTGGGAAGGAGGCCCAAGGGAGGAAGAACACGGAGCCCGTGCACTGCAAAGCTCGTCCCCAGTGACCAGGCAGCCAAGGTCCAACTACAGCAGACTCCAGGGCACCTCGGTCACCAGCCACCGCTACACCACTCTGGGGCCTCATCAAGCAGGTGCCCAGGGTGATAGGGAGAGGCTGTGCAGGGCTACACAACAGGGGGTCCACTCGGGGTCCAACATGCCACCAGCAGAGGTCCACCTCCAGCCCTGACATGACAGCATGGTCTGGAAGGACCGCGGGAAGCCCCCAGAGCAAGCTGAAGACTTCGGGTCCCCTTCCATTCTACAGACAGCCAGACACCTGCCATTGCTTCACGTATAATCCAGATAAAGACCTGCTTTCTGGCTGCCCTGGAGCTGTGGCACCATCTGCGGATGCCCCGATCCCCGCCCCGGATGCCAGACGCTGCTTCTGCCCAAGACGCACAGTGCCGACGGGCTTCACTGGTCACATCAGGTGCCTCGTTACCAGATGGCCTCATTAAAGACTTAATTAAGATGTCAGCAAGGGTGAGACACTTCCCTCCAAGATACACAAAATCTCTGACCAAGCGATCACCATAAGGTTTCATTCTCTCCTACTACGAGGACAGATGAGTCCGGGAACCGAAGTGACATCATTTGAGACCAGTGATGCTTAGTGAGTAGTGAAGCCAACCTGGCCGTGGATTAGAATAGTTTCAAACACCTACTGAAAATCCAGGTTAAGGCTCCAACCTAAACAGGCTGGAGCCTGGGAATCTGTATTTTTAGATGATACGTAGCCATGTTTTAATCAAATGACAGAATGAACCTCCCTGATTAACCAGGGGATACACTTTGATTCTCTGAATCGTAGTTTTCTTACATGTGAAATTTAAAAACAAAATTATGATTATCTTCCATCATTTTTCAAAGGATACCTCGGAATAACGCATGTGAAATGTCACATGGTAACTGCGTCACAGTGGCTGTTCAATAAACTAAGGGTGGCTTATTTTTACATGAAAGCTATTATTTAGACAGACTTTCTTGTGAGTGGGCTGGACTTTGCCTAAATAACTCTCTTGTCTGACACAACCATTGTTCAACACTTCACGGACAGTGGTCACTAAATAAAGATTTGGTTCTTAGTATCATCTTTAAACAATGACCGAGTGACGAAGTGAGGAGAGAACGTTAGTGGTGGCGCACTGTGACACATGAACATTTCGTTCAGAACTGGAATATTCTAGAAAGTGATGAATAAAAGTAACAAATTTCAGCTTATTTAACAAAGAAGCATACCACAATGAGGTTTCACTTCACACCTGCCAGAATGGCTACCATCAATAAATCAGCAAACAACGGGTGTTGCGAGGGTGTGGAGAAAAGGGAGCCCCCGTGCGCTGCTGGTGGGAACACAGACTGGTGCAGCCGCTGTGGAAAGCAGTATGGAGTTACCGCAAAAAACTATCTTACGACCCAGTGGCTTCAATTCTGGGAATACATCCAAAGAAACCCAAAACACTGATTCGAAAGAATATATGCACCCCTATATTCACTGCAGCCTTACTTATAATAGCTAAGATCTGAAAACAGCCCAAGTGCCCATCAGTAGATAAATGAATAAAAAAGCGGTGGTACTTTACACAACGGAATACTATTCAGCTGTAAAAAAGAAGGAAATCTTACCTTTTGCGACAGCATGGATGGACCTGGAGAGCATTATGCTAAGTGAAATAAACCAGTCAGAGAAAAACAAGTACTATATGATTTTACTCATATGTGGAATCTAATGAACAGAAAACCCTAACAAACAAAATAGAAACACTCATTGATACAGAAGACAGACTGACAGCTGTCGTAGGGGAGGGATGTCATGGTGCTAGGTGAAAGGGTAAAGGGATAAGCAAAAAAAACAAAACAAAAAAACTCACAGACACAGACAATAGTGTGGCGATTACCAGAGGGAGAGGAGGGGGGAGAGGCAGGAGAGGAAGAGAGACTTGACTTGGGGTGGTGAACACACAATATATTATACAGATGATGTATTCTAGAACTGTACACCTGAAACCTATATAATTTTATTAACCAGTGTCAGCCCATTAAATTCAATTTAAAATATAAATGTATCTTTAAATTCTCAAAACAAAAGGAGGCAGTTAATGTGAATACATCCAAGTAGAATAACAATGGGCAAGCAATTATTAAAACTCTTAAAATCCACGTTAATTTGATAAAACACATAGGATATCAAATGAAGGGCAAAAAGGGCAAAGAAAGGTATATCCTTTCTAAATTCAACTCTGGGAAACACAGGCTCAGGAAATGACCCCTAGGAGCTCCCCTAAGTGGGTACTGGAGGGAGACTACAGATGATCCATTTCCCTTCAAGACCATTACACCACCACTGTTCTTTCTACCAGGTAACACACTGCTTCCAGAATAAAACGGAATCGTTTTATAAATGAATATAAAAGTTACAAATGGAAGTTTACGACGCCACATGTCCTGAACTGGCCAGTGTGCCTCATTTTCTCAACAGCATCATAAATGCATCACTGTATATAACATTTTCCTATAACTTCATCTGAGGCTCTAGTTAGCTTTTATATAAGATGCATTAATCAAACAGGTGGTCTAAAAGGAGACTAGATAATGGCTGAGAAAGTCGCCATTATCTATGAGTATTACCTTTGCCTTATCTCTCATGGAACCTTTTCCAAGGATGGACATTTTTGTCAAGGTTTCTTCTTGTAAACGCTTCAGAGAATTGCCACGTGGACCCAAAAGCTTCCCCACGAAGTTGAACTAGGAAAAACAAACAAAGCAAATTTGTAACCTTCGTATCTGAAAGTAATGTCTTGCTCTTGGATACTAGGAAACACTGTCGTATGCTACACATCATGGATTAATGACAAATATTTCAGTTCCTGCTATGTTATTTCTTCAAACTATATACAACATGGGCTAAAAATGGTAAAATTTTTAAAAATTGATGCATTTCTCTATACTGATCACTTCCATGATGGCTGTATTTCACAAGTTGGAAATGCAGTTAATGTCCTTGACAATTTGCACACACACTCAATAGCCACCATGCACGGTGCTGGGGTTAGAATACAGGTGAGGAGACATGATGCTAGGTGTTGTGTAATGTCACTCGACTGGTCACTAGGGAGTGTCTGGGTTTCTACCCGGTCAGCACTAAGCCTTGGTCAGTCAACCAACGAGCACACTGGCCTCAACGCGTTCTTCAACATTCAGTGGCGAACAAAAGCTTGACCGCGAGGTCCGCCCATCTCCCAGACGACCAGCGATGGCAGTGTGAGCAACTTATTCAGGCTAGTGCTCAGGGCCCTTTAAGAGTAGCAGTGACCTAATTCAGAGCATGGGCCCAGGGGCTGGGCTACCATGGTTTCAAACCCTGGCTTTCCCAGCTAGCAGCTGGGTGACCCCAGGAAGTGACCCAACCTCTCTACACCTTGGCTTCCTTATCTCTTGAATGGGACCTACCTTCAAAGGGCTGTTCTGAGGATTAAACGGGTCCATATAAATAGATTATTTAGAACAATGCGTGGCACAAAATAGACAATATATCTTGAATGAAAGAATTATTATTAGGAAATTCACTCGATTTTGTTAAAGCCTTACTATAATTAAGGTAAACCATGGATACCCCCTGCTCCCCAATAGAAAACCAGCCTTGTTCATTACCCAGACAACAACAGCTCTCAGAGGCAAGACGCTTGGTTAGAGACGCAGCCAGGGCAGCGGGTACCAGCCGCCTCGTGACCCGCCACGGCCTGGATGCTGCTGTTTCTAAGAGGAAAATGTGCCTCATTTGCTATCAGCCCGACTATGATCACTGACATGCTTCTCCCGAAATACTTACTTTACAAAAAACAATCAACACGTTTTCCTTGCCCACTTTTAATTTCACTGGTCTTCAACAAGACTCTTAACTGTCTTTAACCTTCACATGCATTTTTTCTTTAATTTCTGAAATTTTACGTGAATTATTGTTAAGAATATATCCGTTGTGCAGAATTGGAAATGTCAGACAATACCAGCAGGTGGGAAAGATCAGTGTCTCCGCCCACCCGCCCCTGCCCCTCCTCCACGCCCGCGTTCCCTGCTCTGTCTTCGCGGCTCTTCTGCGACTCGTGAGTCGGGGCTCCTGAGCTGGACCTCGTTTCTCCTTTCCCCTCTCCTCCTCTTTCATCGTCTCCCGCTCTTTACTTTTCAGGAGGTTTCATTACACCAAGTCTCCGTATCTACTGACACTTCCATTTCCACGAACAGATGTTCAAGGGTTAATAGTCTTTTCTTACACTTGTTATTTTTAGGGTTTTTAAAAAAATGTTTATGGACGCAACCGTAGTCCTCATCTTTCTGAGGACACAGACGACGGTGGCCTCCCCCATCCGTGTCTGTGAGCTGGTCTCTCCCGGCGTGGACACTCCTCGGGAAAGTGGGCTGCACGGCTCCGTGTCCTCACAAGCTGAGGACCGAGTCTGCACGATGCTGATGGGACCTCTGCTGTCACACCCGGGACTGGGTGATCCAACCTGACGACCTGCCGGGACGCGCAGCCCAGCGTCCCATCCAAACCCACTCCAACATCAGGACCTACGTGTCCTCCCCCTGAACGGAGGTGTCAGCCACCCCCACCCCTTCGCTTACACATGAAGTCATCCCCCCATTTCCAGGGTAGCCTCGGCTCCCGCCCTCAGGTCCATTTATCCGAGTCTCCTCTGATCCGGCCTCTCAGGGCATCTCAGGTCGGATCCTGGGTTAAGAAGGGCAGACGCCCGGGTTATCAGCAAGAAGACCCTCCGGGAATCCAACTGCTACGCAGACAACCTTCCCACCGAGTCTGCTCTTCCCAGCTCTGCCAGAAACCCCTCCCAGAAACTGGTGTCCACAGCCGGGGCCTCCCCGCGGTCTTCCCACACCAGTTCCGGTGGGCGTGTGTCACCTGCGGGCTCAGGGCTGCAGCTGGTGTCCTCGGGACTACCGTCTTCGTCCACTCACTCGGCAGCGACCCAGCCTGTGCCCATGGCGGCTGTCCCCACGCATCCTCATCTCCGTGGCTTCGCGCCTCTTCAAACGCACGTGTATTCACTGTAGGGGCCGCAGGGGTGGCCAATCCCACCGACGTGGTCACGCAGCCCGTTATGTTTCTTCCACAGTCAGACAGTCCCCAGTTCTATCTATCGTAACTATCCGGAGGCCTTAGAAGTCATCCAGCCCAAACTTCATTTTTTTTCTGAGAAAACTGAAATCCACAGAGTGAAATGATTTCTTCTAGGTCACTTGATGAAACATAAAAACACGGGATTCTACATAAGAAGGACGAGCATTTTATATAATTTTATATACGTGTAGGGGTTTTCTTTCTCCATTTAACATCTATTAGTATTCTGCTCCCAAAAGGTACGTGGGCAAGTATTCTTCCACTCAGAAGCCCTTTCACCCCCTTTCCTGTTCAACTCGACTGGGTGTTAGCTCTCTCCCCGGTCAGTCGACCCTGGCGAGTCTCTGACCACAGCACAGGCCGACTGTGGGTGCCGCTGTGTGACTCAGACACAGCAGGGAAATAAAGTCGCCCAACACCAGCCAGCAGATTGTGGGCAGGACACTCCACCAAATCGTAAGTAAATCGTGAGTTTCAGGAGCATGGAGACACAGTTTTATGTATCGATACCCACCTCTCCTCTTCATGCACAAGGCTACCTACCAAGGGAGCCGCCACGTGGGAATAAGGTGGCGCCCCAGGCCACCCAGCCTGCCAGGGCTTGGCCACCCTTGCCTGGAAGTCAAGGGAGCCTGCGGTTCAGAACTAAGCGTGTGGACAGCTGAATGCCCTCAGAGCCGAGTCCCCAATGGCAGCAGACTTGGTGGGATCTCAGCGGTGACCGTGTCACCTGGGGGCACCTGGAAACTGCCTGTTTGGTTGTTACAAGACAGTGAGTCACTACTGGCATTTTGTGGACAAAGACCGGGAATGGGCCACCCTTCATGGGCCACATCAGAAAGGGGCCACCCTTCATGCTGCAGAAGTGTCTGTGTGCCCCGGTGAGGACACGCTGCCAGAGGAGCCAGACGTGGGTTCTCTCTTCCTCGGGCTGAACGGCCAGGCCCTGGGCTCTCACTTCCCAAGTTCACTGCCTCGAGTCTGTGAGATGCCCTAACGTAGCTGGAGCAAAATCAAAGCAACCCTTAAGCCAGGCCCCTCGCCGCTGTGCGCCTCTCCGGCCTTGTTCACGGCCCCATGAGAGCACAGCCTCCGCGGCCTGTCTCCGTGACGCTCGGGATCTCGTGCTCACTGCCTCCTCTCCGCTACAACCACCCTCCCGGGTGAAGTCTCCCCTTACTTAAGCCAGGGTTCGTTTCTTTCTTTGATAACTGTACTTGCAAGATGGACAGCAAGAACTTAACATTGTTTAAAGAATTCTTTAAAATTGATTTTTAGAGAGAGAGGAAGGAAGAGGGAGAGAAACATCGATGTGAGAGCGGAATACTGATCAGCTGTTTCCTGCTCGCCCCCTACCGGGGATCAGACCTGCAACCTGGGCATGTGCCCGAACTCGGAATCGAACCAGAGACCTTTCGGTGCTCGGGACGACGCCCAACCGAGTCACACCGGCCAGGGCTGAACTCAATACATTTTAACTTTTGTCGGTATTAATGATTCCATTTGTGTATACATTTGTTCAGAAGGTGAAAGTGTTATCCTAGCCGAGACCGTGGCTTCTCTCCAGATGCCAATTATTCCATTATAAATACATCACATGACACATGTTACAGCTGCAAACAGGAAACCCTTTCCAGTGATTATGAAGATGGGAAATCAGCACACATCCGAGTTTCATGCATAATGTGTAACATCGGGAAGACCTGGTGCCTTTCTGAACCAGCTGTAATTGATCCAAACTGTACTTGTGACATGACCCTGTTCCTTGGGGAACAATTACAGTTAAGCTGTCATTTCATAAACAACTAAGCCTCCAGAACATGTCACTGTCTCCATTAAAAGGCGTCCCTTAATTGGCTGTTCACCACGAAGCTGACTAGTCGAACCAAGGGCCGTTTGACTGACCCCCAACTCGGCCCTGACACTGAACTTGTAGCGTCTGCCACCAGAGGTCCCAGCAGTGATCCTTCCAGACCACCTCAGCCCAGCAAAGGGCACAGCCCCCACGCGGTGACGCCAGCCAGAAGCCCGGCATTCGTCCCAGGGGGCAGGGACTAGGCCTTCTGGAGTCGCCGCGGCACCTGTGCAGAGAGGGCACCCACTTATACATGCTCGCTGAGTTAATTATATCTTGACAGTTCGGACGCAGGTCCCAGCGGTCTTCTCTGTCTGCTTGTGATGTTGGAAAAAGACTACCCAAAGACTCAGATGCTGTAAGTGCCACCCTAATGAAGGCTAGTTAGAAAAAGATAATGGAGCAAAATCATTAATTATCTGTGTGTTTTCGCCCTCATTTCCCTCTGTCTATTTTTCTGTGGTCCGGCAGCCAGCCCTGCAGAACCCTCCCGGAATCGCGTCCACACCCCGGTCAGAGGTGCTGAACTCCAAGTTGGCCTGTTGCATCTCTGTCCGGCCATCCTGCGAACAAGCCTGCAGTGAAAGGCCTGCGCGCACCCCCGTGTCCCCCCACAGCCTCGCCCCACCCCCCTCTTTCGATTCCAGCCATTCTAGACTGACTTTGCCTTCTCCAACCCAGAACTGCTGCTTCAGCTCCGACGCAGGGGAGCAAACATCCCTCAGAACCAGAAGGAAGCCGGACGGAATGCAAGCT